AAAATTGGGGAAAAAGGGAAAAAAAAACCAAAAAAAAAAAAAAAAACCGGTGTTTTAGAAAAAGAATGGGGGAAAAAAAAAAAAAAATGAAGTTTTAAAAAAGGGGGCCGGGGAAAAAAAAAAAAAAGAAAAAAAAAAGAAAGGGGGGTTTTTTAAAAAATTTAAAAATGAAAAAAACCCCTTCCATCAAAAAGGGAAAGATTTGGCTTTTTCACAGACGATCCAAACCCCGCCCGGGGCCGAAGGATGTTTTGAACCTTTGGCCCGATGCCTGCCACCCAAAATTCAACCCAAAAAACCCCAAGGGGGGGAAAGGTGCCCCAGGGACCCCCAAAAAATTGCTTAGGGAATCTGCATGGGGGGAAGGGGGAAAAAGAAATTGTGGAAAACCTTGGGGCCCCTTAAAGGGGGAAAAATTTGACCTGTTAAATTGGGCCAACAAGGGGGGTAAAAAAATTTTAAGAACTTTTGAGACAAAATCCCAAAACCAAAGGGCAATAATTCGACCAGAGAAAAAAAACAGGCCCCTATCTTTTTGGAGAATTTCAAATTTGGCTGCAACTTTTTTCCCCCCTTAGGGACATTCGGGTGAGTTTTGGGTTGCTCCAAATGACAACATATGTGGCCCCCCCCATAGATTTGTAAAAACTCCACTACTGAAAAAGAGGGAATGCTGATGATAAAGAACCACATACCAACGTATGTGGAACCTGCTTGAGTTTTCTCCAAAGCCCAAAAGGGGGGCCCCACCTGTGTAGAGATGAAATAGAAAAATAGTAGAGTAACCCCTACCAACAGAAGGGCATTAGATAAAAGGGTGTTTTAGCTAAGTAAACACACCATGCAACAGATTTGGCCCGTAGAGTAAGTAGAGTGTGAGTTATTAACCCATAAAACACAGAGTGAAAACCTGTTTAAGTGAACCCCAACTCATGCCAAAAAGGAGGAACCTGCATAGTAGAATAGAGTGTGTTTAAACTAAGCCCAAAAAAAAGTGGCCCTGAGTAGTATAAAACACATACATGACCCAAAAACCCTTTATATTTGATATGTACCTAATGACAAAATTGGCACTTTTAGTAGTAGAGTGCACATATTTTTCCCCCGATGTGGACACCTGTAGTGTAGTAGTGTGTAGTAGTGGGGAAACAACCTACAGGGCCAAACATTGGGAAACCTGCTAGTATATGTATACACTACATACAGAACCGCTTAGTAGTAGTATGTAGAAACCTACATGCCCAACCAGTAGGTGGACCCCTTTAGTAGTAGTAGTTGGGTTACCCTACTGCCCAAAACAGTATGGGCCCCCTGCAGTAGTAGTAGTATTAGCTCCACTACATGACCAACAGATGTGGACACCTGTGTAGTAGGTAGTATATAGAGAAAGCTACATACATGACCAACAGATGTGGACACCTGTGGGTAGTATAGTAGTAGTAACTACATCCCAAACCCGTATGTGGACCCTGTTAGTGTATTACACTACAGCCCAAAGGATGTGGACACCTGTTTAGTAGTGGGAAAGAGACACTACAACCAAAGTATGTGACCCTGCTAGTGTAGTACTCCTACATCCCCCAACCGTAGTAATGTAGTAAGTAGAGAGCTACACTACATGCCCAACCGTATGTGGACACCGTAGTAGTAGTAGTGTACCTAATGACCAACAAGTGGACATGTATAGTGTAGTAGTACCTACATGCCAACATTTTGGGGCCACCTGCTGTAGTATTAGTGCTACACTCATGCCCAAAAAGGGACACCTGCTGAGTAGAGTGGGGTGGGTTACAATACAGACCAACAGTATGGGAACCTCTAGTAATAGTAGTAGTAGCTGTACCTACTGCCCAAAACAGTATGTGGACCCCTGCTGTAGTAGGTAGGGGGTTTACCACAAAATCCCAAGTATGTGGACACCTGTAGTAGTAGTAGTGGGGAAAGTTTGTACTCAAATGCCCCAACAGTATGGGGACCCCTGCTGGGGTAGTATTTAGCTACACTACATGACCAAACCAGATGTGGACCCTGCTAGAGAAAGTAGTCACACAGGACAACAGATTGGACACCTGCTAGTAGTAGTGTACACTACGACCAAAGTATGGGGGACCTGCTAGTAGAGTAGTAGCTACATACATGCCCAAAACATTGGGGGCACCTCTAGTAGTAGTAGTAGCTACACTAATGCCCAACAGTATGGGACACCTGCTAGTAGTAGTAGTAGTACACTACATGCCCAACTATGGGGACACCTGCTAGTGTAGAGTAACCATACATGACCAAACAGTTGGGGGGACCCCCTGCAGTAGAAAGAGTATAGTTAATAAACAGCCCCAACATAGTGGACACCTGCAAAGTAGTAGTAGCTACACACTGACCAACAGTATGGGACACTGATGGGGTAGTATAGCACACTACTGACCAACTAGGGGACACCTGTAGTAGTGCAGTAGCTACTAATACCGTATGTACCGTAGTAGTAGTAGGGTAGGTAGTAAGTGTAGTAGTATTAGTAGTTAGTAGTAGTTAGTAGTAGTAGTAGTAGTAGTAGTAGTAGTAGGACCAGAAGTATGTGGACACCTGCTCGTCCAACATCTCACTCCAAAATCATGGGCATTAATATGGAGTTGATCCCCCCTTTGCTGCTATAACAGCCTCCATTCTTCTGGGAAGGCTTTCCACTAGATGTTGGACTTGCTTCCTTTCAGCCACAAGAGCATTAGTGAGGTCGGGGCACTGATGTTGGGCGATTAGGCCTGGCTCGCAGTCACCGTTCCAATTCATCCCAAAGGTGTTCGATGGGGTTGAGGTCAGGGCTCTGTGCAGGCCAGTCAAGTTCTTCTACACCGATCTCGTCAAACCATTTCTGTATGGACCTAGATTTGTGCACGGGGGCGTTGTCATGCTGAAACAGGAAAAGGCCTTCCCAAAATTGTTGCCACAAAGTTGGAAGCACAAAATGTATAGAATGTCGTTGTATGCTGTAGCGTTTACACCACTCCAGCCGACGCTTGGCATTGCACATGGTGACCTTAGGCTTGTGTGTGCGGCTGCTCGGCCGTGGAAACCCCATTTCATGAAGATCCCGACGAACAGCTCGTGCTGACGTTGCTTCAAGAGGCAGTTTTGAACCCGGTAGTGAGTGTTGCAACCGAGGACCGAGGATTTTCACTCGCTACGCGCTTCAGCGGGTCGCGTTCTGTGAGCATGTGGGGCCTACTACTTCGCGGCTGAGCCGTTGTTGCTCCGAGACGTTTCCACTTCACAATAACAGCACTTACAGTTGACCGGGGGCAGCTCTAGCAGGGGCAGAACTTTGACGTACTGACCTGTTGGAAAGGTGGCATCCTATGACGGTGCCACGTTGAAAGACACTGAGCTCTTCAGTACGGGCCATTCTCTACTGTCAATGTTTTGTCTATGGAGATTGCATGGCGGTGTGCTCGATTTTATACACCTGTCAGCAACAGGTGTGGCTGAAATAGCCGAATCCACTAATTTCAAGGGGTGTCCACATACTTTTGTATATATAGTGTATGTCATGACTGTAAACACATTTTGCTTTAACAATTTAACATTTGCTTAAACAGCACCCTGATAGGCTACTGCAGCCTCACTCTACCCATGACAAAGTCATTTTTTATCACGCGAAATATGAAAATAAATGATTTGGTATAATTTTTAATTATGGAAGATTGAATAAATTATGTTTCAAACGGTTTGTTTGGAATGATTTGTAGCCATCGTCTCGACTTTTTCTGTGAATTAGAGTCCATCCAACTCAATTTCCCTACCGGAAAAACGCAATTTCTGTCAAGTGTATTCGCGCAAGCAAATTCAGGAAGAAACTGAAGAGCAGATGGCTTGACCGCGTTTTGCGAGTGTCGCATCACTTGACCGCAGTCAATATTGGGCTAGGAATCCCCCTCCAGAGTAGTACAAATGATTTGCAGTATTGATGAGGGCAAGTCTGTGAGACATTTAAGTTGTGATTTTGCATGCAAATAACGTTTTGTTGTTGGCTAGCTTGTTGATGGTATACACATCTTACAGAGTAGCTTTATCAATTCCTACATTTAAAAACGACATATTTAAGCTCAGAACATCATTTTAAAAAAAAACACGCATCAGTTCAACAACTGCTCCTTCCAATACAGTAACGTTACTTACTGTTGTTAATCAGATCTTCCGTCTCCACCTCCTCCTCCTCTTCTTCCCCCTCCTCCTCCTCCTTCAACGTGACAGTTACCTCTCCCTCCTTCACTCCAAAAAAAGCCTCGTCTTTATTCTCTTCATCTTTCACTGTAACAGTCTCACCACCCTCCTCTTCTTTTGTTACTGTGACATCCTCCTCTTCCTCCTCCTCTTTCACGACAACGTTCAGCCACAGACCCTCTTTCTCCGTCCAGCAGACCTCCTCTTCTTTAGCAGGAGGAGAGTAGCTTGGCGAGCTCATGGTCGGCGATGTTAGCTAGCTAGCAAGTTAGCGACTAGACTAGTGATAGGCTAATTTATGAAGCCAGCTACCGTTACCTGACTAAACGTAAATATGACATTAAATGCGGAAACTAGTTATAAGACATTAGTATGTTTAAAATTCAGAGGCAAATATACACTGAAACAGTCTGATCAGCTTGAACGTTTCGACCATGTTGGCTAGCAAACTACCGAGGTGGCTGACTCGTCGTTTTTGAAGAAACGTTCCGTCCACTAGATTATACGTCACACTAGAAGCATCGCCTGAAAGACACACATCGCCATCTACTGACTGGAGTGGGTATCGCAGTTGAGAGAAACGTTTATTTTATTTCCAGACAAAAAGTGATATTTTTTCATTTCTTTCATTAAATAATAATAGTATTTTCAAACTAGTGCAGATTCGTAATAAGTATGAATTTAAAACCTACTTCTTTCCACATCCTACCAACCCAACAGATGTCTCTACCACAGTCAATACTAACCAATGTGGTGGGTCTTTCCACATCCTACCAACCCAACAGATGGATGGGCACCACAAACTCTGGATCCAGGGCGGTGACCCCAGGGATGAAGTCACCAGAAAACTCTGGATCCAGGGCGGTGACCCCAGGGATGAAGGTACCAGAAACTCTGGATCCAGGGCGGTGAGGCTGTTTGAAGCCTGTGTCAGGTCCGGGCTTCCCATCGCCTAGGAGTCTCCCCCCCCCCCCCTCAATAGGGGGTGTGTCCACTGAGCCATGGAGCTAATTTCAATAGGGGGTGTGTCCACTGAGCCATGGAGCTAATTAAAATAGGGGGTGTGTCCACTGAGGGGGTGCAAACATATTTTTTCCCACCACTTATTTTAGAGCTGGTCTGTTATTTCAAATCAGATCAAATCAAATGGTATTGGTCACATACACGTGTTCAACAGATCAAATCAAATCAAATTTTATTGGCCACATGCGCCGAATACAACAGGTGCAGACATTACAGTGAAATGCTTACTTACAGCCCTTAACCAACAACGCATTTATTTCTTAATAAAAAAGTAAAATAAAACAACAACAAAAAAAGTGTTGAGAAAAAAATAGCAGAAGTAAAATAAAATAACAGTAGGGAGGCTATATATACAGGGGGGTACCGGTGCAGTAATATTGTTGGTAACAACATGTGTTTAGCAGATGTTATAGCGGGTGATAACAGTAGGGAGGCTATATATACCAGGGGGGGTACCGTGTGCATTAATGTTATTGGTAACAACATGTGTTTAGCAGATGTTATAGCGGGGTGATAACAGTAGGGAGGCTATATATATACAGGGGGGTACCGGTGCAGTAATGTTATTGGTAACAACATGTGTTTAGCAGATGTTATAGCAGGTGATAACAGTAGGGAGGCTATATATACAGGGGGGTACCGGTACAGTAATGTTATTGCGGGTGTAGTGAAATGCTTGTGCTTCTAGCTCCGACAGTGCAGTAATAGCTAACAAGTCATATCTAACAATTTCACAACATATACCCAATACCAAACCTAAATAGTAAGAATCCGAATAAAGAATATAAAAAATATTAAAACAAAAGGACTAATACGTAATAGTATAGAATACAGTTAAAACTATAGAGAGTAATGCAAGATAGTAAAAATTATTAAAATGACTAGGTTTTCCTTTTTTAAAAGGAGTTTTTTTTAAACTAAATAGGAAGTTTTAATTTTCAGTAAGCATTTAAAACAGTTTTTCCAGTAGAATGTTTTTCAGTCTTCTCCCCTTTGTGGCATGAAAGGAATGCAAAAAAGTGGCTTTGGTTTTTTCCTTTTTTTTGGCCCCGTGACAAATTTTGTTTGGCCAGGGGTGGTAGTTTTTCCCCCTGAAGGCCCCCATTTTAAAGGGGCTTTATGTGGAAAAGAAACTTTTTTGTTTGGTTCAAACCCCTTTGATTGATTAGACTCGTCCTAAGTCGGGGGAGGGGAGGAAGCAAGCAGTGGGGGCCCGGGGTGGTCCAATGGGGTTTTTTTTCCCCCTTACCTGGGGGCGGGTTGGGACCGGCCCCTTTTCCCCGGGGGCAGGACCCTCACTTAAAAGTACTTGGGGGGGTTTGGTTTGTGGGTAATCAAGACCCTTTTTTTGGGTTTTTCCCTTTTTCAATGGGGTGGGGGTTGAGGGGGATGGGGGCCAAACGTGGGGGGGGAAGGGGGAAGGAAAATGGGGGGGTCCCAGGGGGGTCAGGAAAAAAGGGAGGTGTTGTCCTTACCTTCAAACCTTTTTGGGGGGGCTAAGGGGAATCCAAACAGTCCGCCGGGGGCAGGGGAAAGGGGGCCCCCAAGGGGCAGCAAGGGGTGGGGGGGTTGAGGGGGGTTAAAAAAAGGTGGGTTTCAAAAGCCTTTGGGGGCCTAGGGTCCATTGGGCGGGGTTCTTAAAATGAAAATTTTTCCCCCCTGGCCAGAAGGGATAAGTTTGGAGGGGGGGTTTGGGGACTGTAAATCCCCAAATGGGGGGGGGATGGGAAGCAAAGAAGTGGGGTTTTGGGTTTTCCTTTTGTAGTCCGTGATTGTCTGAAGACCCTGTCACATATGTCTCATGTCTGAGCCGTTGAATTGCGACTCCACTTTGTCTCGATATTGATGTTTTGCCTGTTTGATTGCCTTGCGGAGGGAATAACTACACTGATTGTATTCTGCTATATTCCCAGTCACCTTGCCATGGTTAAATGTTTTCAGTTTTGCGCGAATGCTGCCATCTATCCACGGTTTCTGGTTAGGGTAGGTTTTAATAGTCACAGTGGGTACAACATCTCCTATACACTTCCTGATAAACTCAGTCACCGTATCAGTATATACGTCGATATTATTCTCTGAAGCAACCTGGAACATATCCCAGTCCGCGTGATCAAAAAAATCTTGAAGTGTGGGTTCCGATTGGTCAGACCAGCTTTGAATAGTCCTTAGCACGGGTACTTCCTGTTTGAGTTTCTGCCTAAAGGAAGGGAGGAGCAAAATGGAGTCGTGGTCAGATTTGCCGAAAGGAGGGCAGGGGAGGGCTTTGTATGCATCCCGGAAGTTGGAGTAGCAGTGGTCGAGTGTTTTAGCAGCGCGAGTACTACAGTCGATGTGTTGATTGAACTTCGGTGGCCTTTTCCTCAAATTTGCTTTGTTAAAATCTCTGCCTACAATAAATGCAGCCTCAGGATATGTGGTTTCCAGTTTGCATAAAGCCCAGTGAAGTTCTTTGAGGGCCGTCGTGGTATCGGCTTGAGGGGGGATATACACAGCCGTGACTATAACCAAAGAAAATTATCTTGAGAGATAATACAGTCGGCATTTGATTGTGAGGTATTCTAGGTCAGGTGAACAAAAGGACTTGAGTTCCTGTATGTTATCACAATTACACCATCAGTCGTTAATCATAAAACATATACCTCTGCCATTCTGCTTCCCGGAGAGTTATTTATTCCTGTTTGCGCGATGAACTGAAAACCCAACTGGCTGGACCGACTCGGACAGTATATCCAGAGAGAGACATGTTTCCGTGAAAACAGAGTATGTTACAATCCCTGACATCTCTCTGGAAAGCAACCCTCGCCCTGAGCTCGTCAACTTTATTATCCAGAGACTGAACATTAGCGAGTAATATACTCGGAAGCGGTGGGGTGGTGTGCACGCCTCCTAAGTCGGACGAAGAACGCTCCGGGTACCTCTCCTCCGGTGTTGTTTTGGGTCTGCTTCTGGAATCAGTTCAATATAGCTGGTCTGGTTATTTAGAGATGGTCTGTATTACAAATATATATCTGACCATTTTAGAGATTGCATAATTGCGTGATATGATAGAATTTTGAAAACCCGTGTTGTGGAAAATAACCTCTATACTTTATTAAAAATCAAAGGTCTTACAGAGTTTTTGTTGCATCAAGAATGACTTTATTTTTAATTCAACAAAGCCAGGTCAATCTGCAGATTGCCCCCCCCCCCCCCCCTCTTACTCTCTCTCTCCAGTTTATTTAGTCCCCTCTTCAGTTTCCCGCTCTTTTTATTGCTCCGCCCACTTCCTTTGTCTCTGAGGGCGGCTAAACTCGACTTTTATCATGCACATAGTACTCCAACCAATCACTCACTCCCCTGTCTTGCACACACACACACTCATGTTTAGTTTAACCATGACAAGGCCCTAAATCCTTGAAACATGCACAAACCCCCCCCTTCATTATGTTCTTCAGATAGCTTCATAGTTCATCTTGGATTGCCCATGGCAATGTCCCAATTCCAATGTCACACCTGAGCCGCCCCCACCTCCACCTTCATTCAGTTTCGTCCATTTTGCCAACCAGTATACCCAAACTATGAGAAATGTTGTATTTGAATAGATCGCTCTCTTCCTGCTCACTCCACATGGACTCATGTCACCTTCTTGAGAGAAAAGGCATAAAAGAGAAGGTAATGTATTGCTTTGATTGGATGCTGGTTCTGATCCAGGTCTGGTTCTGATCCAGGTCTGGTTCTGATACAGGTGGTGCCGGACAGGAACGTCTTCAACGCCTTTGTTTGCTCCTCTTCAGCCGGGTAGAGGGTGTTTGGTTTTTATTGAGGTTCTGGATCGAATTATCTCTGTTTTTGCATTACGACACCATCCGCAGCAACCTCGGGAAAGGACAGATCATAACAGTTCAGTTGAGTTAATTTCCAATCCAAAACGTCCCTATTAACATTGACTATATGACAATTCATTATGTTTCACCACTCATTCTTAATACACATTTCTAATACATGAACCTGCTGCCTGATAGATTTTTTCCCTGCATTCCAAAGCTATCTGTATAAATGCCACATCATTTCACAATCTCCCTTGAATTCTTCCAACTTCTATAACCCAATTGTTTTATTGTACCAATCCTATATCATTTGCTCATGGTCTATTTGACATTACTCTGGCGTTTCCCTTTTCCTTGCTCCTATTCTAACCACTAATTGCTTACCCTTCTCTCCCCATCCTGGGTAATTATACAATTGTTTATATTTAGGGTTTCCTAAATATGACAAAAGTTGTGATTGAATCATCGCACAGTCCTGGTAACTGTGAAGATTTGGATCTACTGTTAATTATTTAAACGGAGATGCGGTGCATATTAGACTATTTTCCTTATTTAATTTTTATGTAATATATTGTAATCATCTATACCAATCATTGTTTAACGGCTCCTTCCATTCCCTTTCTTCTGTATTTGGTATGGCTCTAACATATGCATGGTTTAGTGCACTTTCCCAAGGAATAACTACTCCAACAACACTTCCCCCGGGAACTCTAACACTAAGTACTACATCAAATTGTTTATCTAAGTCTTGAACTGTTATCCTTATGTCTATGATCCATCTGTCATTTTCTTTTATTATTTTAAGGTCATGTGATTTCCCCATAATCATTGTGGTGGTTCCTCCCACACCAATAACCAGTTAACCCTTGTATTTTAATAGTGATCCCTTCCTGTATTTTAGTTATGGTTCCTGCCTGTGCAGGAATATACATTCTAATCCTGTCTATATCCCTTCTATGTCTTGTTCTTCTGCTCTTTACTATTATCAGTACCCCATTCCCCTTATTCTCAGGGAACTAGTCAAGTGCAGAGAAATCAATGATGGGGATATCTGGTGCATCTTGAATGTCTGGAATATCTCAAAGATCTAGAAGGTCTTGAAAGTCTCGAAGGTCTCGAAGGTCTCGAAAGTCTCGAAGATCTGCCCCTCCGCCGAGGGATTCAGCAAGAACACGTAGCTCATCAGTAATTGCCATCCTCCCCCATCTGATTCTCGGGCAGCATCCTCAGCTCTCTCATCTCTCAGTCACCGGTTCCCTCACTCTGGTACAATGGTTTAGATGATACCAGGTCATGCTCCCCTCTATCCGTACCGCCGTTGGTGTAACCTGGACGCCGATGTATGGTCACCTTTAGCTGTTAACCTTCTCCCGTCACTAGGGTCTCCGGATCAGCCAGAGTCCCTCTCAATCTATCGACATCGGTCTGCGAAGAGTGTCCTTCTATCAGCCTACCCATAGGGAAGCTCGGAGTTACTGCTGCAAGGATACACAAGCACAGACACACACAAAAGATAACAATGCAACCCAATGGCTGGGGCCGTCTTCCTCTTCTGGGGGTTGGAACACTCCTATAGTGGGAAAACATGGATCTAAGTATCTATCTCTCCCACTTTTACCATCACATAGTCTCAGAGGGCGCAGAAAATGCTCAGATTCTCCTGCTCAGTTGGCCAGAGTTATCTTCACCCCATGAAAAGAAAATCTTAAGAACATTGTTAGGTTAGGTGAGACACAGTATGCTACTTATGTCCTCTCATCCGTCAGGAGAAGCCTTGAGATTATGAAGCGCACCTCCTTGCAGCTTGTTGTAGTCCACTCATTTCATTTCCTATACACCCTGCCTCATATCACAAAAACAAAAAAGATTTAACCTAACCCATAACACATTATTACTACTGCTCATATCCTTAATACAATTAGCATATTTTACCACAAAACCATTAAAACCATTAAAACCACTGTAAGCCCAAAACCCCAAAAAACATTAAAACAGTTAACAACTTCCCTCCTTTGGACACATCCCATCGTGATTCATGTGTTCAAAAAACAAAACAACAACAATATTGCTTGTTAAACCAAAAATAATAACTGAACTTAAAATGACAACCCTTGATGATATCTTAACCCAATTGCATTCGATAACATTATTCAAGAATATCTCTCTCCTTCAAGACTAACTCTCTCACTTCATCATTGTCCTGTTTGGAATGATATATAGGATTGATGCCAAATTATATACTTCTTCACAATTCCTTATTATAAACATGCCTCTAGGATTTACAGTGCGGGGTGATCAAGTCACACTATAAAGCCAGGACAGATTGCAGAGGTCATTGAAATCATTCAATGAATTGTGGTCCTCTGTAGCTCAGCTGGTAGAGCACGGCGCTTGTAACGCCAAGGTAGTGGGTTCGATCCCCGGGACCACCCATACACAAAAATGTATGCACGAATGACTGTAAGTCGCTTTGGATAAAAGCGTCTGCTAAATGGCATATTATATTATTATTATTATTATTATATTATTATTATTATTATATTATTATATATTATAATTGTTCCATCCAATGGTATACTACTCATTAACAACCGTCAACACATTTCATAAATGTTGTACCCCTAATGTACAGTAAGTCTTTAGTACAGCTCTTTTCAAAATAAATCACACGTATTTACTTATCCCTCAGTAAATAAAAGCCCAAATTACATGTGTTTGCCCCCTTAAGACATACCACTTTTACCCCGTGAAAATAACCCTAAAATAAATAAAAAAATCCTATACAGCTAACATTTCATACTAAGTAGGATGTTTGTGGTTATTTGAACACCATATAGTAAAACAATAAACAAACAAAAAATAGCCAGGCCTTATTTATAGTCTCTGAAAATATTTCAAAGAAAAAAGAAAACCACTCCCCCTTTTTCCTGGAAGAAAAAGTACACATTTAGTTAGTTTCCATTTTGATATCTCTTAACCAGTCCAAACAATCTAAATTCTAAATTCCCACTCTCTATTCAACTGTGGATAGTTGTTTCCAATGTTATTTCACGCTTAAGAGTACCTGTAATTATGCCAGCTAGCTGCCTACCATTCAGCTGTTTTTCTAACCTCATTATCTGAAGCGTTAACGTTAGGTATGGGGCGGCGCACAATTGGCCCAGCGTCGTCCAGGGTAGGGGAGGGAATGGCCGGCAGGGATGTAGCTCAGTTGGTAGAGCATGGTGTTTGCAACGCCAGGGTTGTGGGTTTGATTCCCAAGGGGGGGTATACATTTTTTATTTTTTTAAATAAAAAATACTCAAACAAAATAATGTATGCACTCACTAACTGTAAGTCGCTCTGGATAAGAGCGTCTGCTAAATTACTAAAATGTAATGTAAATGTAGGTGGTTAGTAGCTACTGTACTCGAAATGTAGTTAATATTTGGAGACGCGTTCTCTCCGTTGGGACAGACGCGAACTGGCTGAATCATTTCAGTGGCTAGCTTTGCACTTAACTGGCTAACAGTAGCTACTAAGGGTAAGCTATAACCTACATTTATTTTTGTTTAGTTTTTACATACTGGTAACCAGAGTCGTTCAAGGGAATTCGGGACATGGGTGACTAGTTAACGTTAGCTTGGCTCTCTGTGTGTTCGTGCTGTGGGAGGAGGGGTTAGCTCGTTGGCAGAGAGCAATGGCTAGCTAGTATGCTAACTATTCTAGCTAACTAACTGGCTGAATAAGTTGACGACGTACTCACTCAAACTGTCAAAACTAACCCAAAACTTTACACAACGTTAGACACGGACACGAATAATCTGCATGGCGTGTTAACACACTGGTGGTTTGTTGTAACCGAGTATTGGTGCTAAACCGTGTTATTGGAGGCTGGCATGCTAGTTGGCTTTGGCGTCATAGGATTCGGTGCCCTGGACGGTTTTCACGGAAGAATACTGTACCAAGTTAGCTTCCTGAATAAACTAAGTTAGTCTATTCCTAGTGTAGTGTCTTAGAGTCTGTGATGTGCTGACCTTTGCAAAAAGTGTGTTAGAGGAAACTTAGCTCTAGGATTTTGCTGATGTTGCAAATGGTGTAACAGATGAACTTTACTCTACTTTGCTGAAACATCTGGAAAGCATTACTAAAGTTCCTGGAAAAAAGTATATGGGGAGAGATGTGAAAAAGACCAGGGATTGGATATTAGAATCACGCCATTGTCACACCCTGGTTCTGGGACTCATTATGTTGAGCCAGGGTGTGTTCATTCATTGGGTGTATTTCTATGTTGGTATTTCTGTTTTGTTCCTTTACGGTCAGTGTTACTGTGGACTTCACGAGTCGTCTATTGTTTTGGTTTTTGTGCGTTATTATAATAAAGTCAATCATGTTCGCTCAACACGCTGCGTATTGGTCTACTCCTTTTCAAGACGATCGTGACAGAAAAACCCACCATACAACGACCAAGCAGCGTGTCCAGGAACACACGCAGGAGGTGACTCTGGTGGATGTCCTCCTCGGTTGGGGGCAGATTACCGAGGAGGAGGCCGTCCGGTACCGGAGGGCTATGAAGGGGGAGACCCAGGCAGGAGAGGAGCAGCGGCGTCAGCAGTGCCATCGTCGGAAGGACGAGAGGCACCCCCAAGAATTTTTTAGGGGGGGGGCACACGGCATGGGCGACTGGGCAGCAGGAGGCTGCCACAGGGCATAATAGGAGACGAGGAGAGAAGGCCACCGGGTTTTGGGGGCCAGAAGGCAGGTTGGCGGAGCCTGGATGGAGAGCAGAGCCAACTCCCCGTACTCAGGCATGGCAGCATGAGACTGGGCAGGTTCCGCGGTATGCGGAGCTGCGCACTGTGCCACGAGTGGTCCGGCATAGTCCGGTACGTCCTGTGCGAGCACCCCGCACGTGTTGTGCGAAGGTGGGCATGCAGCCAGGACGGAGTGTGCCGGCTCAGCGCTCGGGGCCTCCAGTGCCTCTCCTCGGTCCCGGATATCCTGCGCCAGTATCACGTGCTGTTGTGCCAGTACGGGTACACAGCCCTGTACGTCCTGTGCTGATGCCTCACACAGAGTGTGTGAAGGTAGGCATTCAGCCAGGACGGGTTGTGGCAGCTCTTCACTCCAGGTCTCCTATCCGTCTCCATAGCCCAGTCCGGCCTGTCCCTGCTCCACGCACCAAGCCTGCGGTGTGCGTCGACAGCCCTGCCCGGCCTGTTCCTGCTCCACGCACCAAGCCTACGGTGTGCGTCGCCAGCCCTGTCCGGCCTGTCCCTGCTCCACGCACCAAGCCTACGGTGTGCGTCGTCAGCCCTGCCCGGCCTGTTCCTGCTCCACGCACCAAGCCTACGGTGTGCGTCGCCAGCCCTGTCCGGCCTGTCCCTGCTCCACGCACCAAGCCTACGGTGTGCGTCGCCAGCCCAGCCCGGCCTGTTCCTGCTCCACGCACCAAGCCTACGGTGTGCGTCGCCAGCCCAGCCCGGCCTGTTCCTGCTCCACGCACCAAGCCTACGGTGTGCGTCGACAGCCCTGCCCGGCCTGTTCCTGCTCCACGCACCAAGCCTACGGTGTGCGTCGCCAGCCCTGTCCGGCCTGTCCCTGCTCCACGCACCAAGCCTACGGTGTGCGTCGACAGCCCTGCCCGGCCTGTTCCTGCTCCACGCACCAAGCCTACGGTGTGCGTCGCCAGCCCAGTCCGGCCTGTCCCTGCACCACGCACCAAGCCTACGGTGTGCATCGTCAGCCTGGGCCAGCCCGTTCCTGCCACTCGCACCAAGCCCGGGGTGCGAGTCGTCAGCCTGGTAAGACCGGTCAGCTGCTCCACAACGAAGCGTAAGCAATCCGCGCCGTCAATGTCCAGTCCAGATCCAGCCAGTGGGGTCAGACCGGACCAGGGGCGCTATGGGGGGTTGATTGGAGGGTGGTGGGCAAGGCCGGAGCCGGAACCGCCGCCGAGGAGGTATGCCCACCCAGCCCTCCCCTGTTTTGCTCGTATTTAGGCGCGGTCGCAGTCCGCGCCTTTAGGGGGGGGTACTGTCACACCCTGGTTCTGGGACTCATTATGTTGAGCCAGGGTGTGTTCATTCATTGGGTGTATTTCTATGTTGGTATTTCTGTTGTGTTCATTTCTATGTGTGACTGAGTGACTCCCAATCAGAGGCAACGAGTGTCAGCTGTTTGCTGGTTGTCTCTGATTGGGAGCCATATTTAACTGTCTGTGTTTCACTTTGGGTTTGTGGGTTTTTGTTCCTTTACGGTCAGTGTTACTGTGGACTTCACGAGTCGTCTATTGTTTTGGTTTTTGTGCGTTATTATAATAAAGTCAATCATGTTCGCTCAACACGCTGCATATTGGTCTACTCCTTTTCAAGACGATCGTGACAGCCATACTATGTCATAAATTATATAAAACCATGTCTTGAAGAGAGAAAAGGAAAGAATAGCGAATTACAGAATTGGCTCTTGCTGTTCTTCAGATATCTGCAGGTATCTGTAAATCTGACGCTGAAACTCTTTGTTATAATAAACCTTTATAAACAAAGTACAGTGTCGGCGGACTCCTTATCATCACAGCATAGATCAGCATTGTTGTCTTGGACCACCACATTTAATGGCGACGAGGTTTGTTTTATTTTGGGCCGTGATACATCTTTTCTCTGCATTCCATTCCTGGGCTACAAAGTGACTCCCGCTCAAGAAGCCGGCAGATAAGGTGAGCTTATTCACTAATATTGGGCGCTGGCCGTTTTGTGAGTCCAGAGAGTGTGTGCGTTCAAGATGTACCGTCAAAGAATCTGTGCGTGCGTTTTGCTGTTTTTTTGCTGTGTTATAGGAATTCCGTTCTAAATTTTCTAAATTAGTTTGCGTTGAGAACAACGCAAAAAGTGGGGAGTGTCTATAGGGCACACCAATAGGGCACACATATATTTAGCTTTAATAAAAGGAAAAGGAGTGTCCAGGAAAATTATGAAGAAATAAGGCATGAAGGAATAAAAGACAGTATACTTTTAGGACGCCGTTAATTTAAGGAAGCCCTTGAAAACAAGGCATCAATATGATGGGCCATAAATCTTGATAGTTATTAGATTAACTCTCAAGTCAGTTCTGGGAACTGCAGGTTGGAAGATAATATGTTCAATTGTATGTTTACCGCTCAGAAATCTATTTGACGAAGTATTTGTCTGAAGTAATCCTCTCTTTTGAATGTCTACAACCTGAAGGTAGCAGAAATTTAGCAAAAGGAATATAAAAGAAAATAGGAACGGCGATAAGCATGCTTTGTATAAACGGATCCTGTGTGTGTGTGTGTGTTTGTGTGAAACAGAGAGAGAGTGGTTCCGTGCCTGATGAGTTCCAGCTGTGTGTCGACTAAGGCTATGACAACAGGGGTTTTAGTCTTTTGTAAGGAAATATGTTAGTTAAGGTCAAAACATTATGAGTCTCTATAAAAAGAGAATGTTCATTAACTATTAGAATAGCATGACCCTACAGGGAAGACTTTCTTAAGAGTGTATAGAGATGTTTTGTAATTGATAACAACATAACTATAAATCTGCAGATTAGGATAAGTGAAAGATAACAAACTTGGAAGTGGGATTTGTGTTCTGTTCTTTGTGTTCCGTGTTCGTTTGTGAGTTCTGTAAAGTCTTATTGTTTGTCTGTTCCTTTCACAGCGAGTCTGTCTGTTCCTTTCACTCTGAAATCACATTGGTGACTGAACTGCGCACGCGTAGGATTTTATGAGTTTAGAGTTACGTACAACAGATGTTCCACTCCCCTGCACTGAACTGCTGGGAGAAGCAGACTCAGAGCAGACAAGTGAAATGTTCTGTTGAATTAACTGTTGCTTGACTGTAAAACTGTTTGGTTGATAATCGGTTGAGTTGGTGAATGAGAGATATATTGACGGATTAAAAATAATAATAATAAAATAAATGAATAAAATAAAATGTTATTGAGCTATTTATAATATTCCTGAGTTAAGCTGTTTGCTTATTTCTTAGCGTGAATGTGAAAAAAAAAATTATATAAATAATAATAAACTAAATTCTTGTTTGTTCTTTTGTCTTTCTGTCATATGAGAGACGAGAAGGAGGAGACAGAGAGAGAGAGAGAGGAGGTGCTGACATCAGCTGACATCAGTGACAACAACCCAGCCCAATCAAGGCCAGTGCTGTTCTTATCCACAAAACCTACTTTCCCTTACAGGATATAATTAATACATTGTGTCTACATAGAATATTTCATGTTGTGACCATTTCGCAGGAACTTGGCAACAGACTGATGAATTGATGTAATTGATAATTGCACATTAGAGTTTTTGTCAATGACTTGTTTTGATTAGAGTTGTGTTGGAAATCCAGCATTGACATTATTCTGTAAAATTAAGGTAATTAGGTGCTTATTAAGCAATTGGGTTGTGAGTGCTCTAGTGTTTCTGGTACAGGTCTTTTATTTTTGAATTGCTCTGGAGTTGACTACTTTCCTTTACTCTTCCTCATCGGATGTGGTAAGACTGCCACTAATCAATAATTTGGTAAAATAAAATTCACAAAATAATTAGTTGATTGATTGAATTAGTTGGTTGGTTGGATTGATTGATTGATTGAAGTAATTGGTTGATTGATTGATTGATTTGGTTGATTGATTGATTTATTTAATTGATTAGTTGATTGATTTGATTTAATTGATTAGTTGATTGATTTGATTGATTGATTGATTGATTTAGTTGATTAGTTGATTGATTGGATTAATTGGTTGATTGGTTGAATTAGTTGATTGATTGATTGGATTGATTGATTGTTTGATTGATTTAGTTACTTGATTGATTGATTGGATTAGTTGGTTGATTGATTGATTGAAATAATTAGTTGATTGATTTATTGATTTAATTGGTTAATTGATTGGTTGGATTAATTGATTAATACTTTTTTTATAAAAAAAAAAAAGAGGGAAAAAAGAGGGAAAAAAGAGGGAAACACATAACAGAGTCATTACAATGGGGAAAAAGGACATCAAAACTACAAAAGCAATTACTCCTCTTGATGTAGTACAGAATAGTAATCCTCTAGTTAATGGTATAGCAAAATTATCTGAAAATTTTAATAAACGTTGGCCTAACATTGAACAACCATGGCCAGTGGAAGGGACTCTTAACCCAGACGTCATCAAGATAATGCAAGTGCTTGTATCCACGTATAAGGCAGATCAAAAGAAGGGAAAGAAAGGAAAACTACGCAAAGAAAAAAGACAAAGAGAGCTGGGTGTTCTTAAGCTGTTTGAAAATGAAGGACAAAAACTGATAAAAGATACAAAAGATAAGAGAGACAGAGGTACAGAGAAAATGGCAAAAGAGGTGAAGGTGATAGAAAAGCTAATGGCAGAAGTCAATACACCTTTCTCATATATGGATTCAGCAAAAACACCCCCACCTTATGAGAAAGAAGCCAAGTTTAAGGACGTTTATCCTCAGCTTCCAGTGATCATTCAGGAGGGTGACTATTGCATCAGAGATGAAGATGAACAAATAATAGAGAGAGGAGAAGCAGAAACGACCATAAAGATGAATCCAAACTCCAAAAGCAGGAAGAAAACGAGATGTCTGGAAACTAAGGGTAGAGCGAGGTTCAGGAGGATGGAACTTTATGATGATGATGATGACGATGATGATGATCAGAGTGGTTCAGAAGAGATCATGGGTGGATATTTATTTTTTATTTTATTTTTTATTTTTAGTCATTTAGCAGACGTTCTTATCCAGAGCGACTTACATGAGCAATTAGGGTTAAGTGCCTTGCTCAAGGGCACATCGACAGATCTTTCACCTAGTCGGCTCGGGGATTAGAACCAGCGACCTTTCGGTTACTGGCACAACGCTCTTAACCACTAAGCTACCTGCCGCCCCAGTCATCAGACAGAGGTTGGCCAGAGCGGAAAGATGGGGTGATGGAAGTTGGAAGAAGAAGAATACAAGTGATTCGAGTGCTGATGAAAATGAAGATGGAGACAACGATGAAGATTTGGAGATTAAAGGTGCTTCATATTCAAGAGGATTTTATCCTACAATGACTAGCACAGAAGAAATAGAAAGAGATATAGACCGATGCGTCTCATGCCTGGATAAAGTGACTAGTTTAGAAGAAGTGAAAAAACTGGAGGAACAACTCCAGAAGCTGAAGATAAAGAAAAAGAAGCTGCTGAGAAAAGAATCCCAAGAATCTGAGAATAAATATACATTGAGGCCAAGAAAAGAGGGCACTAGTAAGAAAATTATGCCGGTGATCATTCGAGGACAAAACCTAGAATATAAGCCTTTGCAGAATACCGATATGTCAGATATACTTGAGAAACTGCCTACTCTTCAAGATGGAGCATATCCTTGGATTTCAAAGTTGGAAGAAATTACGGTGGGAACACAGTCTGCCATAGGAGACATTAAGAGACTTTTGGCTAATCTCCTTGGGATTCCAGGCATGGAAGAAATTTTTCAGAGAGCTGGACTTCATAGATATGTGGGGACTGCAGTAAACGACCCTGAATTGTTGGTTGCAAGTAGAAATCGGCTGTGGAGAGCACTGAGAGATACGTTTCCAACAAATGTGCATCCTGACAACATTCTGATTGACCCACTAGGACAACAAGAAAATCCGACAGCCTACGTGTCAAGAGTTCATCAAGTGTGGAGAAATATTACCGGAAATGATCCAGATGTGAGTCAAATTGAGCAGTCAATCTTGAGAGCTAAACTACAGATGGGACTGCCCTTACCGGTAAGGAGCAAACTGGCAGAAGTAGTTGGACTTGGGAGCATGACAAAAGGTGTCTATACAGATCATATAGCCCATCAAGTGGATCTGTACCGGAAAAAGGAACACAACCAGAAAGAACAGGACCAAGAAACTCTCAGAAAACTAAATCAAATACAACTGGTGGAGAAGAAGGAGAAGAGAAGCTTTGGTTATGCAGAATCAGTGTGAACCAAATCAACAATCACTGCTACAGCTTCAACTGAACAAGGTCAAATGCAATTATACCAGCCACAACAAGTGGTATAAATTGTTTCATATCCATAGATAGTTTCTGGAAAGAAAGAACTTCAGAGGAAGATACAGGAGCAAGTGAAGATCACCTGTCCTCCAGGTGAACCCTTATAGGAGCAAGGATTCTAGAGGTGCCCAGAAGATCCGAAAGGGGGGTGTCAGCTGGTAGCATCAGGACCGGAAAAAGATCCAACAATTGAAGTGAAAATAAACAATGGACTATGGGAAGTGATGATGGATAGCAGAAAGGCTTTTATCTGTGTTCAGCCTGAAGAGGTTACACATCTCACTATGACAAATCAACTAATTATGAGAAGGATTTGGAGGAGTGAAGATCAGCGATTTCTGAAAATGATGATTTCGGCTCAAGGACAAGGAGAGTCATAAGCTGTACGGAAGACAAATGAATCTGTTTGAAATGTGAAGATGGATTGAGAATCTATGGAAGAAGAGATGTTGCAAAAAGTTCAAGAATGTTTGAGATATCAAAGTAGGACTGATACTGGATTTGTGAAATCAGCTCAATTGAGGTGAAAGTTGAACTTCGACCAGGAGCCAGACCTCCTTGGAAGAATCAGTTTCCATTGAAAGATGAAGCAATCCAAGGGATTGAACCAGAAATTGAAGGACTTTCGAAAGCAAGTGTTTTGAAGACAATAGAAAAAATCGTTAGAGTAGCAATCAATTATTGTTTTGGGAGAAACCATGATGATTTAGGAAGCTATGGGTTAGCTTATGTTGCAAGAGGGGAGTTTAGGAGAAAGATCACAAAGGAGTAGAGTTTTTTGGGAACCATATTTTCTTGAATAGATTGACTATGTCATAGGCAGGTGCATAATCTGTCTGAAAAATAATGTGTGACTGTTATTCTTGGTTACATTCATATACCAAGAGGTGCATAACATGTTCAACTAAGCGGAAAGATGCTCAGTCGGTTACAAAGTTGTTGTGTAAAGAAGTCATAAGCAGGTGGGAATTTCCTGACTTAATATCCTCAGAAAATGGGAAAGAGTTTTGTGAATAAATCAGTGAAATGGTTTTTTATAAAATTAGAGAAATAATTTTTTTTGAAAAAGTCAGACTAAAATGTTATGAAAACTAGGGTTGAAATAACTCTAGGAAATTTGGAATATCTGATTGTGGGATAATTATATTATTGTGATGAATCAAAGGGGGGAAATGGAATTCATATCATTTTTGGAATTCTTATATTTTTAGTTGATATTGATGTTTTAATTTGCATGTGTTGTTTTGCAAAAGATACTGTTTGGTATTTTATTTTCTTCCAGAAGCATATGGGGGAATATGTAGAGGGACTCAAATACTCAAACATGGACAATATGAATGGACTGGAGGAAGTGGAACAAGGAAGGAGTGGAAATGTTCCGATTCCATCATCGACGTCGCATTGAAAGTCGACACTGTGGAGGAGATGAAGTGTAGTGGACTACATTCCAGTGTTATATTCTTTCTGTATTAATTTTTGAAGAATTATGTTTTCTGTTGTTGGGTACATGTGGGGACCTCAGATGTTTTTGTTTATTTCGTTGAAGTTTAGGGATATGGGGTCTAGGCAAGGACAGAGAGAATCCACAGGAGGGTCCGATGGGTCGACCAGCCTGAATGTGGACATTTTGATTGTATTTTGTTTGCTGGGGTTTTCATATGTATTCAATTGCATCATAGCTTAAAATGTATTGATAAAGATGTATAAATTGATCTGGAGTACTTAGGTGGTCGCCTAGGGCAGAGGGGCCGTGAGAGAATTTTCCTGTCTTGACTGACTGATGGATATTTGGAATGAAAGCTGCCAGACAGGTTTTTCGCTCTTACACTCCATAACAATTTATTTACACTCCATAATAACGTATTTACACTACATACAAAAATGTGTCTATATAAACATGTGTTTACTCTCCATAAATTTTGGTTTATTGTTAAAGCTACTCAAGAATAAAAATTGTTATTTGTCATAATCCTATTCTTTTTGTTTTCGAGACTTAATTAGTCTCGAAGGGGGGAAATATGTAGTGTCTTAGAGTCTGTGATGTGCTGACCTTTGCAAAAAGTGTGTTAGAGGAAACTTAGCTCTAGGATTTTGCTGATGTTGCAAATGGTGTAACAGATTAACTTTACTCTACTTTGCTGAAACATCTGGAAAGCATTACTAAAGTTCCTGGAAAAAAGTATATGGGGAGAGATGTGAAAAAGACCAGGGATTGGATATTAGAATCACGCCATACTATGTCATAAATGATATAAAACCATGTCTTGAAGAGAGAAAAGGAAAGAATAGCGAATTACAGAATTGGCTCTTGCTGTTCTTCAGATATCTGCAGGTATCTGTAAATCTGACGCTGAAACTCTTTGTTATAATAAACCTTTATAAACAAAGTACAGTGTCGGCGGACTCCTTATCATCACAGCATAGATCAGCATTGTTGTCTTGGACCACCACACTAGAAACATTGAACCGCTGTAGTTTACAACAATTATAATTTCTAAAGTAGAAGTTGGGAGAGTTATATTTGAGTGTTTCAGTGAAATGTAAGTGAGGGAGGCCCCGCTCTCTTGCTTTCCCAGATGTTTAGTTCATTTCATTTCATTCCGATTTCGTTTGCATTATTGTAGCCTTTTTCTGTAGCCTGTCAACTATGCCTCTGCCTATCCCTGTTCTCTCCTCTCCGCACAGGCTACACAAACGCCTCACACCGCGTGGCTGCTGCCTCTCTAACCTGGTGGTCCCTGCACGCACCACACACCTGGAGTTCCAGGTCTCAGGCAGCCTCTGGAACTGCCGTTCTGCTGCCAACAAGGCTGACTTCATCCCAGCCTATGCTACCCTCCAGTCCCTCGACTTCTTGGCGCTGACGGAAACATGGATTACCAACAGAAAACACTGCTACTCCTACTGCTCTTTCCTCGTCTGACCATGTGTTCTCGCATACCCCGAGAGCATCTGGTCAGCGCGGCGGTGGCACAGGAATCCTCATCTCTCCCAAGTGGACATTCTCTCTTTATCCCCTGAGCCATCTGTCTATCTCCTCATTTGAATTCCATGCTGTCACAGTCACTAGCCCATTCAAGCTTAACATCCTTGTCATTTATCGCCCTCCAGGTTCCCTTGGAGAGTTCATCAATGAGCTTGACAAGTTCCTTTCCTGAGGATGGCTCACCCCTCACAGTTCTGGGTGACTTTAACCTCCATACGTCTGCCTTTGACTCATTTCTCTCTGCCTCCTTCTTTCCACTCCTTTCCTCTTTTGACCTCACCCTCTCACCGTCCCCCCCTACTCACAAGGCAGGCAATACGCTTGACCTCATCTTTACTAGATGCTGTTCTTCTACTAATCTCACTGCAACTCCCCTCCAAGTCTCCGACCACTACTTTTTATCCTTTTCTCTCTCGCTCTCCTCCAACACTACTCACTCTGCCCCTACTCAGATGGTAATGTGCCGTCGCAACCGTCGCTCTCTCTCTCCTGCTACTCTCTCCTCTTCCATCCAATCATCTCTTCCCTCTGCTAAATCCTTCTCCCTCCGATCTCCTGATTCTGCCTCCTCAACCCTCCTCTCCTCCCTTTCTGCATCTTTTGACTCACTATGTCCCCTATTCTCCCGGCTGGCTCAGTCCTCCCCTCCTGCTCCGTGGCTTGACGACTCATTGCGAGCTCACAGAAGAGGGCTCCGGGCAGCCGAGCGGAAATGGAGGAAAACTAGACTCCCTGCGGACCTGTCATCTTTTCACTCCCTCCTCTCTATATTCTCTTCCTCTGTTTCCGCTGCTAAAGCCACTTTCTACCACTCTAAATGTCAAGCCTCTGCCTCTAACCCTCGGAAGCTCTTTGCCACCTCCTCCCTGCTGAATCCTCCTCCCCCCTTCTTCCTCCCTCTCTGTGGATGACTTCGTCAACCATTTTGAAAAGAAGGTTGACGACATCCGATCCTCATTTATTAAGTCAAATGACAGCGCTGGTCCTGCTCACACTGCCCTACCCTATGCTTTGACTTCTTTCTCCCCTCTCTCTCCAGATGAAATCTTGCAACTTGTGACGGCCGGCCGCCCAACAACCTGCCCGCTTGACCCTATCCCCTCCTCTCTTCTCCAGACCATTTTCGGAGACCTTCTCCCTTACCTCACCTCGCTCATCAACTCATCCTTGACTGCTGGTCATGTCCCTTCCGTCTTCAAGAGAGCGAGAGTTGCACCCCTCCTCAAAAAACCTACACTCGATCCCTCCGATGTCAACAACTACAGACCAGTATCCCTTCTTTCTTTTCTCTCCAAAACTCTTGAGCGTGCCGTCTCTAGCCAACTCTCCTGCTATCTCTCTCAGAATGACCTTCTTGATCCAAACCAGTCAGGTTTCAAGACTGGTCATTCAACTGAGACTGCTCTTCTCTGTGTCACAGAGGCTCTCCGCACTGCTAAAGCTAACTCTCTCTCCTCTGCTCTTATCCTTCTAGACCTATCCGCTGCCTTTGATACTGTGAACCATCAGATCCTCCTCTCCATCCTCTCCGAGTTGGGCATCTCCGGGGCTGCTCACTCTTGGATTGCATCCTACCTGACAGGGCGCTCCTACCAGGTGGCGTGGCGAGAATCTGTCTCTGCACCACGTGCTCTCACCACTGGTTTTCCCCAGGGCTCAGTTCTAGGCCCTCTCCTATTCTCTCTATACACCAAGTCACTTGGCTCTGTCATATCCTCACATGGTCTCTCCTATCATTGCTACGCAGACGACACACAATTAATTTTCTCCTTTCCCCCTTCTGATAACCAGGTGGCGAATCGCATCTCTGCTGTCTGGGTGACATATCAGTGTGGATGTCGGATCACCACCTCAAGCTGAACCTCGGCAAGACGGAGCTGCTCTTCCTCCCAGGGTAGGACTGCCTGCTCCATGATCTCGCCATCACGGTTGACAACTCCATTGTGTCCTCCTCCCAGAGTGCAAAGAACCTTGGCGTGACCCTGGACAACACCCTGTCGTTCTCCGCTAACATCAAAGCGGTTCATGCAGGTTCATGCTCTACAACATTCGCAGAGTATGACCTTACCTTACACAGAAAGCGGCACAGGTCCACTTGTCATCTCCCGTCTGGATTACTGCAACTCGCTGTTGGCTGGGCTCCCTGCCTGTGCCATTAAACCCCTACAACTTATCCAGAACGCCGCAGCACGTCTGGTGTTCAACATTCCCAAGTTCTCTCATGTCACCCCGCTCCTCTGCACACTCCACTGGCTTCCAGTTGAGGCTCACATCTACTACAAGACCATGGTGCTTGCCTACGGAGCTGTGAGGGGAACGGCACCTCCTTACCTTCAGGCTCTGATCAGACCCTATACCCAAACGAGGGCACTACGTTCATCCACCTCTGGCCTGCTAGCTCCCCTTCCTCTACGAAAGCACAGTTCCCGCTCAGCCCAGTCAAAGCTATTTGCTGCTCTGGCACCCCAATGGTGGAACAAGCTCCCCCACGACGCCAGGACAGCAGAGTCACTGACCACCTTCCGGAGACACTTGAAACCCTACCTCTTTAAGGAATACCTGGAATAGTATAAAGTAAACCTTCTATGCCCCCCCCCCCCACCCCTTCCATAAAAAAAGGGGTTGTCCCACTGGCTATCATAAGTTGAATGCACAAATTTACACAAATTTGTACGTCGCTCTGGATAAGAGCATCTGCTAAATGACGTAAATGTAAATGTAATATCTCTGATCCCGCCTTTTCAGACAACCCTCAAGAACATCACTTGTGACTGCACCCTTCTCCAGTGAATTCCACAATCCAGTGCACATAAAACGAAATAAAATCCCATAAGATTTAAACCCCCTAGGCTTTTTCCCTAGCCGCACTGCTACAACTCAATCAACCTCAACATGCTTCATGATGTCGAAAACTCAAATATGCTATCTCTTGCCTCGTTGGTTGTACTTTCCCACATGCCCCTTCTACCAAAATAGTTTACTAATGTGATGATGGTTTCGCCCATTAGTGTCCTCGCCCTTCGACGCACCTAACACTTTACTACAATCCACAACACTCAAATTCAACCCCTTCAGCGATTGTTTAAATGCAGCATGATACACCATTTGACTATTTGTAACCCTCATTCGCGCTGTCACCCATACATACTGTCAATTCACCTTTCAGAATCCATTATCTTTGACCCTCGGAAGGATTCTTTAACCCCTCTCTCCTGAATTGCCCCCCCCCCCCCCTCCCTACGGCTCGGACCACATCTCTCTGGGTCCATGCCCTGTATAGATCTAAGGTTGCCAGGGTTCCCTTAGCCACTGCCAATGCAATTTTCTTTTCTCTTGGTCTCAACTATGTACCTCTCTGGCGTTCTCCTTTTCTCTACTTTCTCTCTTTTCGACTCCTGTCTGACTTTCTCTGCCCTTGTCCTGTACTCCTCTACCTCTGTCTCTTCCTCACCTTCGTCTTCCCTTCCTCCTCCAGCCCCTCCTTCCTCATAGGGAAGTGGGGCCGGTTGGGGGGGGGGCGACGACGTTGTTCCCCTGCACTCTCCTTCTCCTCACTACGTACTCATCATCTGGATTTTCTCTCGCCTGGTCTGCCAAGTTTGGATATAACCTTTCTTGCTTAGCTTTTAAAGGGGCTGGCAAGGTCTGAAACTCTTCTTCACTGCTTTTTTTTTTCTTTCTAGCTTCGGCTAGCCACACCTTGGCTGTATCTAAAGCTGTATCTGTATCTAAGCCCTCTCTCTTTTCTGTTTCTTTAGATCAGTACCACAATTTACATGCATTTGTTTAAATCGTGGATTCCAGTTTAACTACGTCAAGTCGCCCCAATAAATCCATATTTCCTTCTCCAATTAGGTCCATAATACACATTCCGTTTGTCTCGCATTTCCATATATTTCTCGTCCCCAGTTAATTCTGGAACCTCTTGTGAGGACTTGCCTCCTGTGAACAGTTTCACACAACACCTGGAATCACCCTTTCTGTTTATGTAGTCTTGACTAGTCCCCCAGAATTATCTCGAAACCGTTACAGAGGAATTTATCCCCTCAAATGTAATCTTGACAATTCCTGACAGTCTCATACAACAGAAATGGGTTCTCCCTCTTCTCTATACAACCACCTGGAATCACCCCTTCCTGTATACAGTGGGGGAAAAAAGTATTTAGTCAGCCACCAATTGTGCAAGTTCTCCCACTTAAAAAGATGTTACTGAGGCCTGTAAATTTCATCATAGGTACACGTCAACTATGACAGACAAATTGAGAAAGAATTATCCAGAAAATCACATTGTAGGATTTTTTATGAATTTATTTGCAAATTATGGTTGAAAATAAGTATTTGGTCTACTACAAACAAGCAAGATTTCTGGCTCTCACAGACCTGTAACTTCTTCTTTAAGAGGCTCCTCTGTCTTCCACTCGTTACCTGTATTAATGGCGCCTGTTTGAACTTGTTATCAGTATAAAAGACACCTGTCCACAACCTCAAACAGTCACACTCCAAACTCCACTATGGCCAAGACCAAAGAGCTGTCAAAGGACACCAGAAACAAAATTGTAGACCTGCACCAGGCTGGGAAGACTGAATCTGCAATAGGCAAGCAGCTTGGTTTGAAGAAATCAACTGTGGGAGCAATTATTAGGAAATGGAAGACATACAAGACCACTGATAATCTCCCTCGATCTGGGGCTCCACGCAAGATCTCACCCCGTGGGGTCAAAATGATCACAAGAACGGTGAGCAAAAATCCCAGAACCACACGGGGGGACCTAGAGAATGACCTACAGAGAGCTGGGACCAAAGTAACAAAGCCTACCATCAGTAACACACTACGCCGCCAGGGACTCAAATCCTGCAGTGCGAGACGTGTCCCCCTGCTTAAGTCAGTACATGTCCAGGCCCGTCTGAAGTTTGCTAGAGTGCATTTGGATGATCCAGAAGAGGATTGGGAGAATGTCATATGGTCAGATGAAACCAAAATAGAACTTTTTGGTAAAAACTAAACTCGTCGTGTTTGGAGGACAAAGAATGCTGAGTTGCATCCAAAGAACACCATACCTACTGTGAAGCATGGGGGTGGAAACATCATGCTTTGGGGCTGTTTTTCTGCAAAGGGACCAGGACGACTGATCCATGTAAAGGAAAGAATGAATGGGGCCATGTATCGTGAGATTTTGAGTGAAAACCTCCTTCCATCAGCAAGGGCATTGAAGATGAAACGTGGCTGGGTCTTTCAGCATGACAATGATCCCAAACACACCGCCCGGGCAACGAAGGAGTGGCTTCGTAAGAAGCATTTCAAGGTCCTGGAGTGGCCTAGCCAGTCTCCAGATCTCAACCCCATAGAAAATCTTTGGAGGGAGTTGAAAGTCCATGTTGCCCAGCGACAGCCCCAAAACATCAGTGCTCTAGAGGAGATCTGCATGGAGGAATGGGCCAAAATACCAGCAACAGTGTGTGAAAACCTTGTGAAGACTTACAGAAAACGTTTGACCTGTGTCATTGCCAACAAAGGGTATATAACAAAGTATTGAGAAACTTTTGTTATTGACCAAATACTTATTTTCCACCATAATTTGCAAATAAATTCATAAAAAATCCTACAATGTGATTTTCTGGATTTCTTTTCCTCATTTTGTCTGTCATAGTTGACGTGTACCTATGATGAAAATTACAGGCCTCTCTCATCTTTTTAAGTGGGAGGACTTGCACAATTGGTGGCTGACTAAATACTTTTTTTCCCCCACTGTAGGTAGTCTTGACTAGTCCCCCAGAATTATCTCATACCGTTACAGAGGAATTTATCCCCTCAAATGTAATCTTGACAATTCCTGACAGTCTCATACAACAGAAATGGGTTCTCCCTCCTCTAGCTATATAACAAGTAATTCAAAACGGAATCACCCCTTCCTGTATAGGTAGTCTTGACTAGTCCCCCAGAATTATCTCATACTCTACGGAGGAATTTATCCCCACAATGTAATCTAGACAATTCCTGACAGTCTCATTCAACAGGAATGGGTTCTCCCTTTCCTAGTGATCTTAACTGTCCAAATTTACTCAATTATATCCTCTCTTTTACTTTTGTATTTGTTTAACCCGGATTATTTGTTGAACATTACTGTTCTATAATCTACTACAGGTTCATCCCCTTAGGTATACTTTCAATAGTTCCTTCTATTTCAATACATTGTAGTTTCTTTTGGTAATGGCCTATATTACCGTGAATCGTTACGGACCCACCAACATTTCACTAAAGAATAAAGACTACTGACCTTATCCTCGCAGCTGAGATTCAATGTAGGTTGGATTCCGTCACCGTCTCTGTCATTATTCAGTTGTCCTCTGGCCTGTTTTAACCCTTAATGCCAAAGGGCAGGTCTTTCTATTTACGAATGTATCATTAGCCATCGACGGTTTTCAGAGTTACCTGGAATGACAGAGGCAGGTATTGGAATCCGGCTCGGAGGACCAAGCTGTTAAGAGAATTTATTAACTACCTATTTCAGTGTCTCTGTGCGTTTCCCAAAGTTTGTAAGACTTTGGTTCAAGAAACGGACAGAGCATCAGTGCAATAGCCAGGTCTTTATTCAGAGAATTCTGTTATCACAATTTCAGAGTCCATCTTTTATACACACACGTCATACAAAAATCCCACCCCGCTTTAGGCGGGCTGTATTTTTCCACTGTACACACACCTGGGTTTAGCTCATGTGATTTTCCTCTGCTCTCCTGACCATCAGGACACACACATACATACACACACACACACACACACACACACACACACACACACACACACACACACACACACACACACACACACACACACACACACACACACACACACACACACACACACACACACACACACACACACACACACACACGCACACACACACGTTCGTATCATAGTCTACTCCTTGCTCGGGCAGGCTGCATTCTTTAGTTATCTCCATTCTCACAATATCCTGCAACATGTTTTCATACTCTCTTCCAAGCCTAACAGTTCTCCTTCTTCTTTATTGTCTGGCCTAACTCCTACTCACATTGCTAAATAGTAACACAATGTCATAATCTTAACTTGCCCTACGCTCACACATTACAATCTTATGATTCTAACACATTTCACACAGTTTCAGTGTGTAATAATTAGTCACTACTAAGAAAGTACTAATCATACTTAAAACAAGAACATTTCACAACTATATTTAAGGGTGGAACATTTAGTCATTACTTTTAACCTGTATATATTTTAATTTCTATATCAGTAGAATATACACCTATAACATAAAACCCATAACCACTTTCCAGTATTCTAATAATTTTAACCTGCTGCATTGATTTTTAGTAAAAAATATAAATTGTTGTGCAATAAATCCAGAACCTACAAAAAGTTAGTCCTGTCCCCTAGTCCAAAATAAATGCTTCTCTAGCTCCCCTGATTTGGTCCTCCCCACAGGTTCACTAGCTCCCCTGATTTGTTCCTCCCCACAGGTTCACTAGCTCCCCTGATTTGGTCCTCCCCACAGGTTCACTAGCTCCCCTGATTTGGTCCTCCCCACCGGTTCACTAGCTCCCCTGATTTGGTCCTCCCCACCGGTTCACTAGCTCCCCTGATTTGGTCCTCCCCACCGGTTCACTAGCTCCCCTGATTTGGTCCTCCCCACCGGTTCACTAGCTCCCCTGATTTGGTCCTCCCCACAGGTTCACTAGCTCCCCTGATTTGGTCCTCCCCACGGGTTCACTAGCTCCCCTGATTTGGTCCTCCCCACGGGTTCACTAGCTCCCCTGATTTGGCCCGGTGGACCCTGTGTCTGAGACTGACCCCCTCCAGCTGAGCTGGGCCCATTTTCTTGCCAATTACACTGTTGTGGTTGCCTAGGCACCCGCGGCTTGGTAGGACAATTCCTTCTCATATGCCCTGATTGATTGCACCCCCCCAGCAGACATCTGGTCTTCTTGGTCCACCCCTCTGGTGTGTTTGATGCTGTGGTTGGCACCATTGATTCTTGTGTCTCTCTTCATTATTCTTGTTTTGCCGCTGTCCAGGAGACTGTTGTGTGGACACATTCACTAATGGTGAGGTAGTAGATCTTTGGCCTTGCTGCTGAGGCGGTGTCTGTTGACCGTCATCTTAGGTCGTCTAATTTATTTTCAAATGATTGAACGTTGGCTAATAGGATTGATGGAAGAGGCAGTTTACTCGCTCGCCGTCGGATCCTTCCAAGGCACCCCGACCTACGTCCACGATATCTCCGTCTCTTTCAACATTTCTAGCATGTCTTTCAATGGGTAACAGAGTTGACGTGTTGATGCTTGACCTGCTCAGTTTTATACCACAAAACACCAGAAAAGAACCAGAATGTTCCAGAACCAGAACCAGCCAAAAAGAGTAGAACTAGCTCACCTGCTTTTACAGTTTGACTATTAGATGTTCAACGTTAATATATATATTGTTGAGGAATAGTTTCACCATATTAAAACGAGAGTTCAGTTCACATAACAGGGTTGAACTTAAAATGAGGGACATCATTTTTCATGTGATTAGATTAATCACATCTCACATTAAATAAATTATCTTCAGAAATTATTTTTTTTTAAAGCGACAAAATAACTATTAAATCAGGTTTCCATCCAACCATTTCAAGCGGCTGAATTACCTGACAGGGCTGATGGAACCAGGGCTGATGGAACCAGGGCTGATGGAAACAGGGCTGATGGAAACAGGAAATGTGGGTACAATTTCATAAATGTCAATTTAAATCATTTCGACAGATTTATTTAATTTTCCATGTGGTCTATATTAAAGGGCACTTCATTTAATATAACAGGCTTTTATCATGCAATATTGGTGCACAATTTCTAAGTAAAATATCAAAGGGACGCAAAAGGCCCTCTTTTCAAGGAATGACCCTTGTATCCAATCAATCAAAGTTACCAAAAAATGTAAAATCAAATTTACCAAAAAATTCAAATAAACGTAAATAATCTGATGATTTTAGCGATGTCTGGAGATGAAAACAACTAGAAGTAAAGTAGGCCTCTCTCTGACGCTAAGAAGGTCGGTCCTGGTCCTCGAACGGGAGACCAGATTACCTGGAAGTGGTGTTGGGGGCAGGTCGGTCCTGGTCCTCTGATGGGAGACCAGATGACCTGGAAGTGGTGTTGGGGGCAGGTCGGTCCTGGTCCTCGGATGGGAGACCAGATGACCTGGAAGTGGTGTTGGGGGCAGGTCGGTCCTGGTCCTCGGATGGGAGACCAGATGACCTGGAAGTGGTGTTGGGGGCAGGTCGGTCCTGGTCCTCTGATGGGAGACCAGATGACCTGGAAGTGGTGTTGGGGGCAGGTCGGTCCTGGTCCTCGGATGGGAGACCAGATGACCTGGAAGTGGTGTTGGGGGCAGGTCGGTCCTGGTCCTCTGATGGGAGACCAGATTACCTGGAAGTGGTGTTGGGGCAGGTCGGTCCTGGTCCTCGGATGGGAGACCAGATGACCTGGAAGTGGTGTTGGGGGCATGCTTTCCTCTGCTCTATGGAGATCCCAATGCTTCAGGGCAGTGAAGGGGACCTTGCCCTGCAAAGGGTGCCGTCTTTTGGATAAGACGTTAAAACAAGTGTCCTGACTCGCTGTGGTCATTATAAATCCCACTTACCGTAAGAGTAGGGTGGGTGCTACACATTGGTGGTGGAAGAGATGAGTTTCCCCCCCTTAATATGTAAAGGTATTTGAACACCTACTGTTTAATATGTAAAGGACTTTGAACATCTGTTTAATATGTAATTATAATGGTGCCGGAGAAGATGGCTGCCGTTTTACAGCCCTCTAACCAATTGTACTATTATGTGTGTTTTTCCGCGTTATTTGTAATTTATTTTGTACATAATGTTTCTGCCATCGTCTCTTATAACCAAAAAGAGCTTCTGGATATCAGGACAGCGATTACTCACCTCGTATTGGACAAAGATTTTTTCTTCAACGAGGCGGCCGCGAAGGATATCCTACAGACACCCGACAAGGCCCAAATCCCCGTCATTCGCGTGAGGAAGAGACGGAGATATCGTGGACGTAGGTCGGGGTGCCTTGTAAGGATCCGACGGCGAGCGAGTAAACTGCCTCTTCTATCAATCCTATTAGCCAATCTTCAATCATTTGAGAATAAATTGGATGACCTAAGATTACGGTTATCCTACCAACAGGACATTAAAAACTGTAATATCTTATGTTTCACCGAGTCGTGGCTGAACGTCGACATGGACAACATACAGCTAGCGGGCTATACGCTACATCGGCAGGATAGAACGGCTGACTCCGGTAAGACAAGGGGTGGCGGTCTGTGTATATTTGTAAACAACAGCTGGTGCACAAAATCAAATACTAAGGAAGTCTCGAGGTTTTGCTCGCCTGAGGTAGAGTATCTTATGATAAGCTGTAGACCACACTATTTACCAAGAGAGTTTTCATCTATATTTTTCATAGCTGTCTATTTACCACCACAAACCAATGCTGGCATTAAGATTGCACTGAATGAGCTGTATAAGGCCATAAGTGAACAGGAAAATGCTCATCCAGAGGCAGCGCTCCTAGTGGCCGGGGACTTTAATGCAGGGAAACTTACATCCATTCTACCTAATTTCTACCAGCATGTTAAATGTGCAACCAGAGGAAAAAAAACTCTAGACCACCTTTACTCCACACACAGAGACGCATACAAAGCTCTCCCTCGCCCTCCATTTGGCAAATTTGACCATAACTCTATCCTCCTGATTCCTGCTTATAAGCAAAAACTAAAGCAGGAAGCACCAGTGACTCGGTTAATAAAAAAAGTGGTCAGATGACGCAGATGCTAAGCTACAGGACTGTTTTGCTAGCACAGACTGGAACATGTTCCGGGATTCTTCAGATAGCATTGAGAAGTATACCACCTCAGTCACCGGCTTCATCAATAAGTGCATCGATGATGTCGTCCCCACAGTGACCGTACGTACATACCCCAACCAGAAGCCATGGAATGCAACCAACAGCAACGGCCAATGGAAAGAGTGGATACACAGATCTTACGCCTACAAACAAACAGATTTTTCCAGCAAATGTATTTTTGAAATATTGCGAAATACTTTCTAGCTGCTGCCTGCTGTTCTTTGACAGCCACAACTCAACCAATCAGCAGTTTGACAGCCACAACTCAACCAATCAGCAGTTTGACAGCCACAACTCAACCAATCAGCAGTTTGACAGCCACAACTCAACCAATCAGCAGTTTGACAGCCACAACTCAACCAATCAGCAGTTTGACAGCCACAACTCAACCAATCAGCAGTTTGACAGCCACAACTCAACCAATCAGCAGTTTGACAGCCACAACTCAACCAATCAGCAGTTTGACAGCCACAACTCAACCAATCAGCAGTTTGACAGCCACAACTCAATAATCAGCAGTTTGACAGCCACAACTCAACCAATCAGCAGTTTGACAGCCACAACTCAACCAATCAGCAGTTTGACAGCCACAACTCAACCAATCAGCAGTTTGACAGCCACAACTCAACCAATCAGCAGTTTGACAGCCACAACTCAACCAATCAGCAGTTTGACAGCCACAACTCAACAATCAGCAGTTTTACATTTGCTGCCCAATTGCGGGATTCCCGACTGTAGACTAAGTGTTCATAATGTTCCAAAACACAATCTACAGCAATTTTTTAAAATAAGATATGGATCCTCTGTGGCTAAATTATGCTGGTGTAGTATTTTCAATGATTTAATTTATTTATAGAGACAGGAGCAATCATATAACTTGGCAAATGTATTTCAGTTAATCACCCCTTCCTGCAGGGGGGCTGTGTTTTCTCCCGTGCACTGCGCTCTCCCCAAGGCCAAATAATCACCCCTTCCTGCAGGGCTGTGTTTTCCTCCATGCACTGTGCTCTCCCCAAGGCCAAATAATCACCCCTTCCTGCAGGGCTGTGTTTTCTCCCATGCACTGTGCTCTCCCCAAGGCCAAATAATCACCCCTTCCTGCAGGGCTGTGTTTTCTCCCATGCACTGTGCTCTCCCCAAGGCCAAATAATCACCCCTTCCTGCAGGGCTGTGTTTTCCTCCATGCACTGTGCTCTCCCCAAGGCCAAATAATCACCCCTTCCTGCAGGGCTGTGTTTTCCTCCATGCACTGTGCTCTCCACAAGGCCAAATAAATTAATCACCCCTTCTTATTATTCATTCCATGGCTTGTGGTCAGTAACCCCATATGAGGTTGTTGTGTCGGTAGGCCTACTGTTACAATAACATTTACAATCATCTTAATCACCCCTTCTTATTATTCATTCCATGGCTTGTGGTCAGTAACCCCATATGAGGTTGTTGTGTAGGTAGGCCTACTGTTACAATAACATCTGCAATCATCTATCAGTCTACAATTACAAGAATACATTCATTAAGTAAATGAAGCCAATAGTGGTTTCAGCTATATTATTAGTATTATAACGATGTAGGCCTTCTGACCTTTAAAAACAATACCAACATATGTCAAATGACTTGAATAGCCTGAGGTGTACAAACCGAGTGGCGCAGTGGTCTAAGGCACTGCATCGCAGTGCTAGCTGTGCCACCATAGATCCTGGTTAGAATCCAGGCTCTGTCGTAGCTGGCCGCGACTGGGAGACCCCATGGGGCGGCGCACAATTGGCCCAGCCTCGTCCAGGGTAGTGGAGGGAATGGCCGGCAGGGATGTGGGTTTGTTTCCCACTGGGGGCCAGTATTAAAATGAAAACATATATGCGTTCACTAACTGTAAGTCGCTCTGGATGAGAGCGTCTGCTAAATGACTAAAATGTAAATGTATTCGCATCAGCAGGCTAAGTGACATCAGAAAAGTATTGGAAAGATCAGGTAGGCTATAGGCTTAAAGTGTGTGTGTGTGACTGTAAGTCGCTTTGGATAAAAGCGTCTGCTAAATGGCATATTATTTTATGATAATGACGCTGTCCCAAAACGGTGCTGGAATTATCTGTTGTCTACATTGATTATAACCAGTGGTGTAGTGCATTTACACAATGGTTACTAAGCCATCATTTCTGAATGAAAGTTGGTACCGACATGAAGCCTATTGCATAAAATTATTTTAGAATATAAATCCAAAATTGGGAAATGTTCTATTTTTAAAATACTAAAAACAGCAAATTAGGCCGTCATCACTGTCAATCGTGAATTATAATTATTCATGTTTTACAGGAGAAACGTCCATGCTGCATGCATTGAACACCATTTGATCCCAATCAGTTTCACGGAAATATGCATTTCGATTTTCTTGAACGGTGTAAGGGTGGCTAACCGGCCTAACTAATCGAATTTTAGAGCAAACGGAGTTAAACACAACCACAACAAACAAAAAAAGAAACATTTCAGCACAATCATCCTAAATGGTCCTAAATTGGCCTGACATGATCTCTTATATTCGGTTTGTTATGTAGATGACTAATGAATCAGACACCATTAGCTCTGCTGTGCACCAGCTCGGTGCTACACCCCTGATTAGAACGCTTGGATGACTTCCGGAGTTTCATGTCGGCCTAATCACGGCTCTGTTAATTAGGTGGCGCATTCAGTTGACTAATATTTTTTCTTACACCATTGCAGCAGCACCAAAGACTCGGGGCTAAAGCCCGAAAGCCAGGTCCTGGTGACATCCATGATTTAAAAACCTACTGTTAATATGGAGAGGGATTCAACACCTACTGTTTAATGTGGAGAGGGATTTGAAAACCTACTGTTTAATATGGAGAGGGATTCAACACCTACTGTTTAATATGTAAAGGATTTTGAACACCTACTGTTTAATATGGAGAGGGTATTGAACACCTACTGTTTAATATGTAAAGGGCTTTGAATACCTACTTTTTAATATGAAATGGGATTCAACATCTACTGTTTAATATGGAGAGGGATTTGAACACCTACTGTTTAATATGTAAAGGGTTTGAACGCCTACTGTTTAATATGGAGAGGGATTAGAAAACCTACTATTTAATATGGAGAGGGATTTGAAAACCTAATGTTTAATATGTAAAGGGTTTTGAACACCTACTGTTTAATATGTAAAGGGTTTGAACACCTAATGTTTAATATGAAATGGGATTCAACACCTACTGTTTAATATGGAGAGGGATTTGAACACCTACTGTTTAATATGTAAAGGGTTTGAACACCTACTGTTTAATATGGAGAGGGATTTGAAAACCTAATGTTTAATATGTAAAGTGTTTTGAACACCTACTGTTTAATATGTAAAGGGTTTGAACACCTACTGTTTAATATGAAATGGGATTCAACACCTACTGTTTAATATGGAGAGGGATTCAACACCTACTGTTTATTATGGAGAGGAATTTGAAAACCTACTGTTTAATATGGAGAGGGATTCAACACCTACTGTTTAATATGGAGAGGGATTCAACACCTACTGTTTAATATGGAGAGGTATCAACTCCTACTATTTAATATGGAGAGGTATCAACACCTACTGTTCAATATGGAGAGGGGTTCAACACCTACTATTTAATATGTAAATGTATTTTTAACACCTACTGTTTAATATTTAAATATATTTAAACACCTACTGTTAAATATGTAAAGGATTTGAACACCTACTGTTTAATATGTAAAGAGTTTGAACACCTACTGTTTAATATGTAAAGGTATTTGAACACCTACTGTTTCATATGTAAATGCATTTGAGCACCTACTGTTTAATATGTAAAGATTTGGACACCTACAGTTTAATATGTAAAGGGTTCGAACACCTACTGTTTAATATGTAAAAAGTTTTGAACACCAAACTGTTTAAAATGTAATGGTTTGAGCACCTACTGTTTAATTAGTAAAGTGCTTTGAACATCTGCTGTAGGTGGAAAGGTGCTATATAAATTCAATACATTATTATCTTTGAGTAAGGTCTATTATTTAAAATGTAATTTCATGTAACATAAACAAAACCACAAATTCTCAGTCAAGAACATGAGACAGAACATAGCTTCTCAAGTCTCTTGTGTCTTTTCAGGTCCCCTGATCGGGAAAATGTCTTTTCACACTGGGAACATTTGTGTGTATTCTCTCATGCTTTTTCAGGCCCCATAACTGGGTAAAACTCTTTGTGCAATGGGAACAGTGGTAGGGCTTCTCTCCTGTGTGTGTTCTCTCATGCCTTTTCAGGTCCCCTGAACGGGTAAAACTCTTTCCACACTGGGAACATTGGAAAGGCTTTTCTCCTGAGTGTGTCCTCTCATGCTCTTTTAGGTTCCATAACTCTGTAAAACTCTTTACACACAGGGAGCAGTGGTAAGACTTTTCTCCTGTGTGTATTTTCTTATGCTCCTTCAGACTCCCTAACCACTTAAAACTCCTTCCACACTGGGAGCATTGGTAGGGCTTTTCTCCTGTGTGTGTCCTCTCATGTTCATTCAGCCTCCCTATCCACCTAAAACTCTTTCCACACTGAGAGCATTGATGAGGCTTCTCTCCTGTATGTATTTTATTATGATCCTTCAGATTCCCTAACCATTTAAAACTCCTTTCACACTGAGAGCAGTGGTAAGGCTTCTCTATTGTGTGTGTTCTCTCATGAGTTTTCAGGCCCCCTAACCGGGTAAAACTCTTTCCACATTGGGAGCAGTGGTATGGCTTTTCTCCTGTGTGTGTTCTCTCATGTGATTGTAGGTGTTCTAACCTTCTAAAACGCTTTCCACACTGGGAGCAGTGGTAAGTCTTTTCTCCTGTGTGCGTTCTCTCATGTGATTTTAGGTGTTCTAACCTTCTAAAACTCTTTCCACACTGGGAGCAGTGGTAAGACTTTTCTCCTGTGTGTGTTCTCTCATGTAATTGTAGGTGTTCTAACCTTCTAAAACTCTTTCCACACTGGGAGCATTGGAAGGGCTTTTCTCCTGTGTGCGTTCTATCATGCTCTTTCAGCTTCCATAACCACTTAAAACTCTTATTACACTGGGAGCAGTGGTGTTGTTTTGCTGGTTTGGGCGTCTCTGGGTCTGGTTCCCCTGAAGGACTCTTCCCGCTGTCGGAGTGAGAGTCTGGTCTCTCTCCTGCTAAAGACAGAGTATATAATTAGACACTAAAATGACCTAAATGAAACCTCCACATGATAAAACTGTCTTCCTATGAGGTTTAATCCAGACTAGGGAGTTCAATTTTCACAACATTTCATCATTAAAGAAAAACTTGTGGCCATCATAATAACACTAAGAATGATAATAATGAAGAGCTTCAAATCTAACCTCTAACCTCTAGCTCTCTCATGGAATATCATGTTTATAGGCTGATCAGAGCTCTATAATAATAGATCATGTCATGTTTATAGGCTGAGCAGAGCTCTATAATAATAGAAAATGTCATGTTTATAGGCTGATCAGAGCTCTATAATAATAGATAATATGTTATAGGCTGATCAGACCTCTATAATAATAATAGATAATGTCATGTTTATAGGCTGATCAGAGCTCTATACTAATAGATAATATGTTATAGGCTGATCAGACCTCTATAATAATAATAGATAATGTCATGTTTATAGGCTGATCAGAGCTCTATAATAATTGATAATGTCATGTTTATAGGCTGAGCAGAGCTCTATAATAATAGATAATG